CGCGCCCTTCACGGAGCCGGGGGCCCGTTCTGTGCTCCCCAAAGTGCCGTGGCAGCGCAGCAGCTCCTGGGGGTGTCCGGACCTCCCGTGGGACCGGGCTGGGCTCCATGTGCTCCCGCTGGAACGGGAACCGCGGCCGGTTCCCCCGGGACGGGGTGTGGGGCTCACGGAGCCCGGGGGAAGTGGGTACAGCCCCACCGGGGGCTGGTGCCCGGCCCGGCCCGGGGGAGCCGAGCGCAGGGGGTCCCGCCCCGGGCGGGTTCAGGGGCTCCAAACGCGGCTCCTTTGAGGCGGCTCCGGCAGCGCCGCGTTTTGGGTGTTCCGGAGCGGGCACCGACTTGCTCCTCGTGTGATTCAGGAGCGGGGATGAGGCACGGCCGGGCTGTCACGGCTCAGCAGGATCCACCCAGAACCTTCTCCACATGCACCATCTGCATAATTGGCTCTTGCAAACCCCAGTCACACACGTTAAAAACCAGCTCTCCTCATTCCTCTTCCCTGCAGTTTGCTCTGCTTTATTTCATCAGCATTTCCCTGCCTTTAGCACCAAACCGATTCCTTGCTTAGCTTTTATTTAACCGCTTCATTTTTTGGGTCCATTTGCACAGTGATAGGAGATGGGGCTGAAGCTTTCACGTGGTTTTTGTGAAGGCAAAGAATCGTGCTGGGTTATAACCCCATTTTTCATATTTAAATACCATGTAACTTCAGGATTTCCTGCTCTTTATTTCATTGTACAGATTTAGATGTTTGATTCAAACCTTTTGCTTTTTGGAAGAAGAGGGGACTTTGCAGTCAGTGGGAGTTGTTGGATTGTTGGCAGAAGAGTGGATTTTGGTACTCACTCTTAATAGAAAAGGGAACAGTGTTAACTGGCTAGTAATAAATCCTTTACAGGATTATTTCTGATTAATTTCTCTTTTTTTTCCCCTAATACTTTGATTTTAAAAGAAGAGATTCCATTCTCTTTCATCTAAGTTCTTTAATTAGGCTGTTTAAAGCTGAAGACAGATGTGTTTGAATGTGGGCCTGCCTGGGCACCACTGGGCTTTGCTGCAGGTAAAATCTGCAGGTAATTCTATTTTAAAAAATACTTCACAGAGGTGGAGAAGAAGTGTTATCAACACTTCTTCTGTTATCAAATGGGGAAACTGAGACACAGAGCTGGTCAGTGGCAGGTGTCAGACCTGCTCCCTAAATCTGATGTGAGGTTTGATCTCCCTGTGGGAGCAGAGCCCCATCCCTGCACTGTGCTGAGCTCCCACGGGCTCCATTCTTCTTTTTAGGCTTTTAATGTAAAATAATTTCTCTTTAGTTGCTTCTCCCCCTTACACCACTGTTTATTTGCAGTAATGAGCAGTTTGTGTTCCTTGGTCCTGAGCCCAGGGTGGAATTGTGGAGCAGCTGGGTGAGGAGCTTGGCCCTGGCCAGGCTGGGAGAACAGTTTGGTTATTTGGGGGTTGGTGTGTCACAGATGTCACAGTTGTTCCATTTGGGGTGATGTCATGTGCTGGGCAGTGAGGTAATGTCTCCCCAGGAGCATTCCCATGGCAGATCTGCTTCCAGAGGGTGTCAGTGTCCCCACGTGGGATGGCTGGGAACAGATAAACAAAAAACACCTGTCTGGCTTCACCAAAGCTTTGGTTGTGCTTAGGGTTTGAGAGCCCATGAGCTTCCCCAGCTGAATCCAGGGGGAATGATTTGGTCTTTGCACTTCCCCATTCCTTTTGGAAAAATATCTCAGGAGTTTCTGTAAAGCTTCACAGTGGGGTTTTGGGACAGAAGTAAGGCATTGTGAGAATTTGTCTGTGCTGAGCCTGGAGAATTGGTCAGAAAATGTTGGATATTGTGGGCTCCCAGTCCAACAGCACACAGTGAGAGAGCAGTGGCCAATCTCCCATGGATCCCACACTGTGCCAAGGAGGGAGGCATGATCCTTTCATCCTTCCCCATCACTGTAAGCTTCCCATTGACCTTGGCAGGTGAAGTGGGGAGGATGAGAGAGATCCAGTGTTTCCTGCTCCTTCCATGGGACTTCCAAGACTCCTGCAGTGGCAGAGAGCTGGCTTGCCAGAGTTGTTTGCTTTTTGCAAACACTTCTTTCTTCACTCAGGGCTGTGGATTGGCTCTGTCCAACTTGCTTCCCAATTCCTTGGGCTGGAAGAACATAACCAGAGCAGTGGCTTGAAGAGGGAGCATTAATGGCTTCAGCAGTTCATTAATCAACAGAATTTGGAAGTTGGGGCAGTGCCAGCCACAGTGACTTCCCTTCTTGGTTCCTAGAGCTTCTTTTAATTTTCCCTCATAAAGCAGTAGAACATGGGTGCTCCTTTTAGTACTTCTTCAGCTCCCATTGTCATTCCCAAAGCTTTTGTCCACTTAGCTTCCTATTTTCTCCTGGCACAGTGGGAGGGGTTAAAGAGCCAAGCTTGTTGGAATATTGTTTGTAACCAACAGGAACACACTGTGATTCCTCCTGTGCAGGAAACTGGGATCTGCTGTAGGACTGAGCGTCCCTTGTCAGCCTGGGAAGGGAATTGGAGAGCAAGCACAGGCAGGGAAGGTGATATCAATAATCCCAATTCTCTGTGCATCTCACCTAAAAACCTTGGAGCGTTTCACCAAGTTCAGTTGGGGGGTTTTGTTGTTTAGGGTCTATCAGAGGAGCTATTTTGGTTTGTCCTATCCACACCTGAAATCCAGAGAGTGCTGCAGGAGGAACAGATCTTTCTGGAGGTTACCACTAAACCATTTGTTGTTTTTAATTTTGTACAGGTAGAAAAGGAGGCCACAAAGGCCGAGCAAGGCAGTACACGAGTCCTGAGGAGATTGATGCCCAGCTCCAAGCAGAAAAGCAAAAGGCAAGGGTATGTGTTTGCTCCTTTGTGTGCTTTCTTTCCTAATTGCTGCCTTATCCAGCCTGGTTATTCACTGTTCAGGAGCAATGGCAGCTTAGCCAGGTGCTGCAGATCATTCCAGCAGTGATCACAGTATGGATCCCACATATCTCCAGCTGGGGAGACTCCAGGGTGTCACCCAGTCTGGTTCCTGAGGCCTGGAACACAACCCAGGGCAGCATTTGAAGGTTAAAGGATGGGGGAGCTGATTACACAGCAGCTCTGGAGATCTTTTCTCCCCATATTTCATCATTCCAGTCTCCAGTGTCTGCTGATTTGTTCTGCAGCTTGGCTTTGGAGAACAAGGGCCACATCTTGACATGTTACTGTATGTTGAAATTTCTGTATTTGCCCCTTTCTGTTGTAGATTTATGGACCAAACTCCTTTAACTTCTTCCTGGACATATGATTTTCTTGTTTGCCTCTGACTTGTAGGGAGAGATAAGAGTTTTCTGATGTGGGGCCTCTTTTGGGTGTGTTTCTGTGCCCCAGCATTGGACTGTAACAGCTCCCCCCACTTCCACCATGACCTGACTGCTGTTATAAAAGCCTTGGCTGCTTTTTGGGGCTCTTACTCTCTTTATTCTCTTATCACAGCTCTGGTAGCACTCTAGTATTTTTCCTGTGACTTTCTGAAAGTGATGCCTCAGCCCAAATACACAATTCCAGCTGAGGCCTCACAGCACTGACCACAGGAGGATAATTACAGCCCATGTAGGAAGTCCTGGTGAATTCCTCAGAGATGACTCTCTCAAGCAGTTCTGAGCCATGGTGTTGAGTCCTTTTTAATGTTTTGTCCAGCTGGAACTGGAGATGATTGTTTGGTTTGCTGCTTAGCCACATATTCCAGCTTTGTGTTGCATTTCTTCTTCCAAAGTGTAACTCCTCTTGGTTAGTTTCTGATTCCACCTTCTTGGTTTCATGCCATATTTCCAAATTTTGAAACCACTTATGAGTCTCATCCTGTTTTCCAAAATAATTCCAACTCCTACCAGTGGTGATGTCATTCACAAACTGTTCAAGTGTTCTCTGCTTCCATGTTTTTAATAAAAATACTGACTGGAAATGGAAGGAAAGCAGGACCCACTTGAAATGTCTTGTTTCACAGCAAACTAGAGAACTGCTTTTCAAGAAAGATATATTTTTTGTGATAATCCATAGCATGGTTACATCTAACACTGATTTATTAAGGAAAGCTTAAATCTCTCCCCTACAATTAGAAAAAATACTCCTCTTACTGTTCCTTGCTCATCCACTTTTCTGGTTGCTTGATGAGAAATGTTGGTAGTGTAAAACAATCTGTTCACACCCATGTTGGTTCTTCTTATGATTCAGAAATTAATTTCCAGGCTTCTGACTGGTGGAACCTGTGCTGAAAAGGCTGCAATTCCTTGGATAATAATGTTCTGGTTGATGGTTGTCCATTTTCTCCTCTAGGTTTTTTTATTTTCCACACCCAGGATGGGATCCAGCTCTAAGCTGCATCCATGTAGTTTCCAATATCTGGGGTAGTTTCCAGTCTCTGAGGCACTGGAAACCCAGGCCAGAATTCTTCTGGAGAGCTTTAACTTGGGGGAAAGTAAGGTGCCAGTGGTGTCTTTTACAGTCATTTTCCTGTTAGAGCAGCAGAGTTGTTTGGAGGTGATGATGTTGCTGAGGAGGAGCTTTCATTCTGTGACAGCCAGACCCCCTTGGTGGCACAGGGCCATGTCAGGAACACCAGTCCTCAGAGCCATCTCTTATCCCTCCAAAATCTCATTTAAGGGCTGGGTTTGGGATTTTTAGTGACAGATATTTCCTCTGATTTTGTAGGAAGAGGAGGAGCAAGAAGAAGGAGGAGAAGGAGCAACAGGGGACCCTAAAAAGGAGAAGAAATCTTTAGATTCAGATGAGAGTGATGAAGATGATGAGGATTATCAGGTACTGCATTCTCAGGGCACTTAATGCATCTAATACTTGGGCTGGGGGGGAGATGCACACTCTGGATTCTGAGCAGAGCTACCTAGAGTGCATTTTTTATAGAACTACTTTTAGAAGCCAAAAAACACTCACCTGACAGCATTTTGCCCTCAGAATGAAAACTTGTGAATATTTATAAATGAAATGCAAAGGCAACAAGATTTTTAAAAAGGCCAAAGGTGCCTTGATTCATAAATGGTTTTACTGGCTAGTTGTAAAATCTTGACTTGTGTTTTTTGGGGTGCTTTGCAGTGTTTTTGGTGAGCTCTGGTACAACCAGAGCTGGGTGTGAGAGCTCCCCAACCTCCCTTTTGTTCTTGACCCGCAGCAAAAGCGTAAAGGAGTGGAGGGGTTGATAGACATAGAGAACCCCAACCGTGTCATTCAGACAACCAAAAAAGTCACTCAGCTGGACCTGGATGGACCCAAGGAGCTCTCACGACGAGAGAGGTGAGTTCCCTGCTGCACCCCTGGGATTTCAGCCTTGCTGCTGGCAGCAGCTTGATGCAGGGAGGTGTTTCCCCTGCTGTGTGTCAGTGTTTCGGGGAGGCCCTGAAAAGTTTGTTGCTGCCTAAAGCAGGCAATGAGCAGCAGCAAACTGGGCTCACTGTGCTTCAAAATGTGGTTCCTAAGAAACTTCACAGGAGTTGTCTGTCCTCTGGGAGCAGCTGTGGCTATCCTGGAGCCAGGCAGCCTGCCCTGGTGCTCTGAGAGAAAGGGATTTAGGCCATTGCTTTCCTGAAGTTCTATGCTAAAATCCAGAACAGAAATTCCATTAACCAGAGGTCACCTTGGATCCACTTTAATCTCACTGCAGGAGGTGCCCTGGTGACAGGTAGCAGTTTCCCAGATTCCAGATATTATGGTGAAATTTTTATCTGGGCAGATAAATAACCTGAAAACCAAAGTTTAATCTTCTGGTTTCAATTAGCAATGGTGAGGTTTTGAAGGGATGGTTTAATTTTTTTTATTTGGGATAGATTGCTTCAGCAGAAGGATACCTTTGAAGGTAAGGCTGGGAAAAACATGTCACAGTTCTTGTGGTGTGGGGCTAATTCATTTGGCCTCCTTGTGTGTCTGTGGCCTTACTTAGCTGAAGGAAGGTAGAAATAATCTCTCACCTCACTTCTGTTCAAACCCTGCAAATAGACAGAACCTGTGCTTGAAAAATGGTGAAGGACCCCCACTTTTGGGGTTTTTCCTGGCTGGAAAGCCCCACTCTCTTTGTTCCTGTGGGCTTGCCTGGATACTCTGGTGACTGTTGTGTTTCCTTTGGGCAGAGAGGAAATAGAGAAGCAAAAGGCAAAAGAAAGATACATGAAAATGCACCTAGCTGGGAAGACAGAGCAAGCCAAGGCAGACCTTGCCCGATTAGCCATCATTCGGAAGCAAAGGGAAGAAGCTGCCAGAAAGAAAGAAGAAGAAAGAAAAGGTTAGAGAGTAATTAATCATATTTTCCTACCTCTCCAAGAGGCCACACATCCCTCATCTGAGCCTGTGTGGTGTTGCTGAGTGTCATCAACTCCCCTCAGCAAAGCCAGGCTCAGCTGTTTCCCTCTCATAAAGTTCTTGCTTTATAAGCAAGAGCTTGGACACCGGAGCAGGGAGAGAAAGGAATTGCCCTTCCTATCCATCTTGTTCCCTGCCTCCCAGGCAATGCTGGCTCCAGTCTGGGGTTTAGCAGGCTCTTCGTGCTGGGTGATTTGTCTGCTTTGCCTGTGGGGATCTGAACTGCACAGGGAGTTCACAGCACTCCTTTCCTTCCTGGCCTTTCCCTGGGACGTTTGAAGCACAAGTCTGAACATGGCTTCTTGGTGGCTTCCACAGAGAAGTCTGGGCATCAGGGTGGTTTGTGGACACCTGGAGAAGGCCAGGGACAGAGGGAACACACAAGTGGAGCTGTGGCTGTTACCTCTGAGAAACTGGTGGGAAGGGTGGGATTTTTTCCTTTACCCAGCTGGCAGGATCCTGATCCCTGGGGCTGCCAATCCATCCCCAGTCCCTGATCTGCACCATGAAATGATGAAACTCTGTTGTTTTCCTCCCCAGCAAAAGACGAAGCGGCCATGGCAGGTAAAAGACTGCAGTCACTATCCCTTAACAAGTAAGCACAGGCCATACAAGAGGAGGAAACACCAGGGAACTGTGCCTGGTCCTGCTGGGAGCTCTGCTGTGTCACCTTCCATCGATGCCACACAGGGCATCCTGCAGCACTGACCTCACCTCCACCTCCAAGAGACACTGACGATGTGTTTGTCCTCATCCTGGCACAGATTTCCATTTGGGGTTAGGGGCAGCTGCTCTCTGCAGTGCAGAGCTGTGCTGGACAGCAATTCCCTGTAACAGTTTGGAAACATGAATGTTTTTGCTGTTTTTAGGATCAAGAACTCGTAGACGGTGGGAGGGGG